TGTTTAGATTAATGAGAATAGAGGATAAGGGAGGGATCCTTGGAGGAGGGGTAGGCTAAGTAATAGAAGGGCAAGGTATCAGGTAGAAGTAAAGTAGAAGAGTCAGGAGAGATAGAAAATAAGAGATAAGCACAAACATTAAAGATCAGGAGTAGAATTTGTTAGGGAAAAAGGAGCACAGGTAGTAATCATGATCTCACACAAAGTTAAGGCTAAACTAGATTTGATCAAAAGAGAAAAAGAGGGAAACTATACTATGTGTCAGCCATATTATTCAATGTTGTTTTGAACTATTTAAAATAACTAGATAATATAAGGTTGCAATATTGCTGTGGTATAGGAAATGATGAGTTGGAAGACTTGTAAAAATATGGAAAGACTTGGACTTATGAAAGAAGAGATTATCCACTTTCAGAGAAACAGAGGACAAGTAAGTATAGTACAGTCTTACATAGATGCATATGGATGTATATGTCTATATATGAATATGATTATAGACATCTAAGAATGTATATGTATGTATTGGTATATGTACGAATATATATATATCTTTGTATATATATGTCTATATATGTGTATGTGTGTATGTATATGTATATACACATATATTGTATGTACATACATATACTGTAAGGGGAAAAAAGAACAAAGTAAAAAGTGCACAGCAGATAACAAAAGAGAACTTGCAAGAAGCAAAGAAAAGATGGGCAGCTCTCAACACGATGCATAGAATTTATTATATAGGCTTTCTTGAAATGGAAATTTGTTGCTGTAAATTTTGAATCCTCTCACATCCTGCTGTGCACATGGCAATGCTTTTCTTTTTCCTTTTCTTATTTTCTATTATTTTAGTTTTAGTACTTGTTTGTTTTTTTTTTCTTTTCTTATTTTGTATTTAAGTTTAAAAAAATACAGAAAAAGAAAAAAGAAAGATTAAAACTGCTCTGTACATGTTGTGCAGTAAATCCCACTGTGTCCCCCAACCCCGCTCTGCGGGGATTAACAGAAGGCTCTTAGTTGTAGCTGCCCTTTGTTTCCTAATTAATAAGCAAATAGAGTGTTCACTGAGTAAATATCAGAGTCAACAACTAAAACCAAAACTTTAACCTCCCCAGGGGCAGAGGTTAGACCTTTTCAATAAAAGAGCAGAGTTAAAACAGAATGAGGTACTAGGGGATCTCAGAGGTCTTTGGAAAGACACAAAAGAAACAGGTTCTGAACTTGGGAAACAGGTTCTGAATTTTATCATCCGTCATAAAATCACAGATCATGCTATAGCTGGAAGAGACCTTAGAGATTATCATTTGTAACCCCTTCATTTTACAGATGGGGAAATGGAGGCACAGAGGTTAATTGACTAGCCCAAAGTCACACAGCTAATTAGTGCCTGAGGTAGATTTGCATCTAGGTCTTCTCAAGCCCAGTTTCAGTGTTTTATCCACTGCGTGACACAGAACAGTTGGAAGGGGCTCTAGGTCTTTTATTTTTATCTACTGTTCCTAATTTGGGATAAGGTAGAACCTGGGGGCAAAAAGGAGAAAAGAAGGGCAGGGAAGAGGAGAGGACAGGAGAGGATATTGTACATCGTTAGCAGTAGGGAGACCCAAACTGATGAGAAACTTAGTACAAATAAGAGCCAAGTCCTAAAAGATAGACTGAAGGCAGAGAAGAAGGAGGAAGAGGAAGAGGAGGAGGAGGAGAAGAAGAGAAGAAAAAGAAAGAAAGAATAGCTAACATTTATATAGTGCTTACTATGTGTCAGGTATTGTCTTTGTAAAGTGACTTGCTCAGGGTCACACAGCTAGTAAGTGTCAAGTGTTTGGTCTGAGGCCAGATTTGACCTGATTTCAGGGCCGATACTCTATCCACTGTACCACCTAGCTGCCCACAGGCATTGTCTTAAGTGCCTTATAATTATTATCTCATTGCCCCTTACAACAAGCCTGGGAGAGTGCCCATTTTACAGATGAGGAAACTGAGTCAGGCATGGGGTTAAATGACTTACCAAAGGTCACACAGTTAGAATGTGTCTGAAGCCAGCTTTGAACTCAGACCTGACTCTAGACTTGGTGTTCATGCTTGCTTCAGAGGAAACTTGAAAGGTTTATGGATTTTATTTTTTACCATATAAGAAAGTTAGTCAATGAGCAGCTATTTAGAGCTTATTATGTGTCATATGCTGTGAATGCTTGCGATGCAAATCAAGGTTCCTACTTTCAAGGAACATAGATTCTAATAGAGAGGACTCATATAAATCATTAGGTAAGCAATATGAGTGGATGGAAGAAAATAGGAGAAGGCACCAGCATCTGGAAGATGGGGTAGGAGATGGGGAGGGGCAGAAAAAGGGGATGAGAAAAGGCCTCCTTCAGAAAGTCTCATTTAATCTGATTCTTGAAGGAGGCCAGGGAAACTGTTAGGCAGAGGGAGAGGAAAAGGGAAAGGAAGAACAAGAGTATTCCAGAGATGTTACTCTTTGTGACCCTATTTGGGGTTTTCTTGGCAGAGATACTGGAGTGATTTGCCATTTCCTTCTCTAACTCATTTTACAGGTGAGGAAACTGAGGCAAATAGGGTTAAGTGAGTTGCCCAGGGTCACACAGCTAGTTAAGTGTCTGAGGCTGGATTTGAACACAGAAAGATGAGTCTTCCTGATTCCAAGTCCAATGTTCTATCCAATGTACCACGTATCCAATACAAAGATGCAGAGAGTATTGTATTTGAGGAGCTACAAATAGACCAGTATCTTTGCCAAAAAAAATTCCAAATGGGAATGACAAAAAGTCAGACACAACTGAAAAACAGCAACTTTGCCACTTTGATGGATATTAGGTAGAACTTTTTAAAGTAGCATTTCTCTATTCATGAGTTAGAGCATTTTTAATATGGCTATTGATGCCCTCCTTTGAGAATTATCTGTGGTGTGATTTTTTTAAATATAATTTATCTATTTGGAAATTATGTTGGTATATGATATGAGATTTTCATCAAAACCTAGTTTCTGCCAGACTTCTTTCCTGTTTTCTTAGGAGTTATTGTTAAATAGTGAGTCTTAACCACCAAATGCTTGAGTTGATTAATTTTTTTAATTTTTTCATTCAAACGACTTTAAATGAATTCTGTTTATATTTATTATTTTGTTTCATAAATGGAAAAAATAAATTGTGCACTGGGCTAGATCTTTCCATTAAGTTATAAGATCTTCCCTTTCGAATGTAAGCTTGTAGAGGGCAAGCACTCTTTTTACTTATATTAAATATGCCCCATGCTCAGCTCATTGATATGATGGTATAGATTCACAAGACAATGAACATTTGGGATGGAAGGCAATTTAGAGAACAGCAAACAATCAACTAATCATGAGCTTTTATTAAGTACTTTACTAGGCACTCTGCTGGGTAGCTAGGTGGTGCAGTGGCTAGAGCTCCCAAGGCCTGGAGTCAGAAAGACTCATCTTCCTGAGTTCAAATCTGGCCTCAGACTCTTACTAGCTATGTGACTCTGGACAAGTCAATTAATTCTGTTTGCCTCAGTTTCCTCATATGTAAAATGAACTGGGAAAGAAATGGCAAACCACTTCAGTATCTTTGCCAAGAAAATCCTAAATAAAGTCACAAAGAGTCAGACACAACTGAAATGACTGAACAAGAACAGGGCATTCTGCTAGGCACTGGAGATACAAACACAAAGATGGAAAGTGACTGCCTTCATGCAGTGGCTATCCTATTGGCAACAAAAAATAGAATGTAACAGAACTAAGGAACCCCCCAAAATATGTGGCAAGCAATGAAGGTCCCAGAGGGTTGAAACCAGGTCTCCTGGTGAGGAGTTAAAAAGAGCTAGCTTACAGGTAAATATAAGAAAAAAACCTTTTTTTAAAAAAAGCTTTCTAACAATTGTTGTTCAGTCATTCGGTTGAGTCTAACTCTTTGTGACCTCATGGACTGCAGCACACCAGGCCCTTCTATCCTCCATTTTTAAAATCTGTCCAAGTTTCCATGATACTACCTATTCATCTCATCTTCTAATGATCAGAGGTGTGCAAAAATGGAATGAACTTCTGCCTCATGAAGCAGTAAGTCCTTTAATGCTAAGGACTGTCATTCATAGACTTACAAGTTGAAAGGGTCCTCAGAAGTCGTCTAGTCCAGCCTATGCCTGAACAAGAGTTCACTGAAACCATGTGTGGCAACCACCTGTCAGAGATGTTACAGATCAGGCAAGAGGTTTATCTTAAGAGGTTCCTTTTAATCCTAAAATTCACTGGCTCAGATTTTATGAACCACTTTTTTGAAACATCATCAGTATTCTTAACCTTTAAAAAGAATGAAAGGAATTTAATTATCATTGTTATCATCAATGATTATAGCTAAAATTTCTATGATACCCTGAGGTTTTTAAAGCACTTTGTACACAATAGTTCATTTGATCTTAGATTTTTCTGAGACTAACGTAGCCATTTGGACCAAGGGACTTAGCCACTTAGTTAGGTCACGACTTGGTTATGTTATGGAAATTGCATCCTTGGAAATTGCAGGGATCAATTAGGAAATGGCTGAAGAAGTTGTGCTATATAATCATGACGTAATATTACTGTGCTATAAGAAATAAGGAGCTCAATGATTTTAGAAAAACATGAAAAGATTTACACAAATTAACGAAGAGTAAAATGAGTAGAACCAAGAGAACATTGTATACAGTAATAGCAATATTGTTTTAAGAATGACTTTGAGCAAATAAGTTATTTTTTCTATTATAAATGCCCAAATTACCTAAAAAGGATATATGAAGAAAGATGCAGTCTGCATCCAGAGAAAGAACTGGTATGTAGAAGTATGTATAGAATAATTTTACATAAATATACCTATTTGTGTCTAATGGTAGACACCTCTAGGGTGGGAGAGGAAGAAAAAAAGGAAACTTACATGATAATTTTATTGTATATTTGAAAGGAATAGCAAGTTGTGCATTGTAGAGTTGCAGTTTCATGTACAATCATCTTTTTTATTGTAATGTGTTATGGAAATTCTTGTTTTATTCCATAAATTAAGAATAATTTTTAAAATCTTTGTTATGTAGATTACATTGATCCATGGGGCGGGGGTGTCAAAAATTCAACAAATCTTTATTAAGTACCTACAGTGTGCAGAGTTTTGTGCTTGGTGGGAGATGAAAATTTTAGCTTAAAGTCTTCACTTTCGTTGCATTTACATACAGTAAGGGAATAGGACACAGATTTAAAAAAATAGAATATACCATTTGAAAAATGCATTAGAGGGATATAAAGCAAAGTTTGTTTTTTAAAGTTGAAAGTGAAATCTTCAAAAAATTTAGGTGCAAGCAGGAAAGCCCTTATTTATGGCTATTCATTGCAACAATTGGATATAAGCCCTTCTACTTGCTCTACATGCTTTTGGGCACTTTGCCCTGAGATATTGATAAATCAGCTTTGCCAAGTTCCTTGTGTGTTATGTGGGTATGGAAGGAGAAGGAGCTTGTGTTTAAGGCATGTAGGTACATCTTAGATATTTCTGTGCAGAGAAAATCATGATCCTTTGCAAAATATGAAACAATCACTACATCTAGCCCATACGTGTCCCCTGGAGACTGACTCCTCTTACTCTCAAAATAGGGAGTGGCTGGGGATGAATCAGTTAGGTGAATTCACAATATCAGTTCTTCCCTCTGGTCTCAAAGCTCTAATGGAGCTCCTATGGAGAAGAGAAATTATGTTTCAGTGAAATGGGTGCAGTCTTCCCCAATTCCAGAGGCTACAAGAAAACAGAAATTACATCTCTGTGGGGTAACACAAAAAACTCTGGATTTAGAGTCAGAGGACATGGGTCTGAATCCTAGCTATGGCCTTTGTTGGCAGCATGTTCTTTAGCAAGTTCATTTTCCTATAAGAAACTAGACTAGGAGAAAAAGGGAGAGAAAGAGCAAGAGAGAGAGAATATTAAGAATATGGAGGTGTTGTCATGTGTCAAGCACTGTGCTAAGCATAGGAAATACAAATACTAGCAAAAAGGAAGATAATTCTTACCCTCGAGGAGCTTACATTCTAATACGGGAAGACACCGCATAAAAAAGTAGCTGAAAAGGGGAGGAGAGGTACTCACAATGGAACAAGGTAGAGAAGTCTTCCAGGAGTGATGGATTGGGCTGGATTTAAAGTGTACATGCCAACACAAGTGGTCCCTCCTCAAATGGAAGGATCTTCCAGCTTTGAACCTAGGAACTTTAGTCATGAAGTCTCCAGGAAAGTGGTCTTTCCAGGAAGGAGCTTAAGATAAGCTGCCTCTCCTTGGTTCTTACAGGTCTATTGATCCTGCTATAGGAAATACAGGGAATAAGAGACACTGAGTAAATTTTAATGGACAAAGCTGACATCAACACCCTCTTTAGCCCCAAATACTGCCACCTATGCCACTGATAGGAAGAAAGCAGGATAAGATGGAGGACAGATCCATGATCTTACTGATTTAGAAGTTATCATCAATGACAAAGATTAAGTCCCAAATACATCTGTCCATACTGTATGACTGGTCTATGACCTCCCACGAATTTACCATAGAATATCTACCCAATATGTTGGGGCTTTCCTCTATTCCTTCTGAAATCAAGAGAACATTCTGATTGTTCTCTTATCATCTCGTACTTTCACCATGTGACTAGCCCATTTTCTCTTCCTGTTGTACAATTTCTTGATGCATTTTTAGCTACTGCTCCTTAAGAGTTCTACATTGGTTACATGTTATAACCTGCTATCTACTAATCTCTGGGTAATATCTGTTCTTCATTCTTCAGAGACACTTTTATTCGATGTCTTTCTGCCATACGACAACATTGGTAAAATGTTGGTATTTCTAAAATAGGCTCTTGCTTTCATGGGGAGTTTGGGGTCATTAAAAGAGCTTCATAGTTTCCCAGAGATGATCTACTGGACTCACGTCCTCTTCAACCTGGTGCACAGATTGTTGTCCATTTGAAGCTCTATAGGCTGTCCGTGTAAATGCATGTTGAAATCTGGGCAATTCTTCATCTTTCCCATGAGGATGGATGGGACAAACTCTTTTGAAGGATTACAAATCTCTTTTTAGACAGCTTTGCAATATTCTGATGCTTGATGCCATTAGTACAATGTCATCTGAAAACAGAAGCATCTGGATGACTTATAATCCATAGAGAACCCCTCTTTAACCAGGACTCTATAAAGGATCTCCTCCATCATGGTGGCAAATGCTATTATCAAGTATATATCTTCCAGTTTTATGCCTTGCCTAATGTTTATGATAAGGGTTGTTTTTGTTGTTATATCTTTTAAGGATTCTTGAATAATTTTGAAAGATGAATGGAAGATACCTTTTAAAAGAAGCCTCAAAGCTCTTTTTGTGGTGGCAAAGAAATGGAAATTGAGGGATGTTCATCAACAGGGACATGGCTGAACATGTTACAGTATGTGAATGTGACAGGATATTACTGTTCTGTAAGAAACGATGCATGAGATGGTTACAAAAAAACTAGGGAAGACATGTATGAATGAGTATCTAGTAAAGTGAGTAGAACCTGGAGAACACTGGCAACACTGTAAAGATAATTAACTTTGAAAGACTTAGTGACTTTGATCAACATAGTGACCAACTACAATTCTAAAGAACTCATGATGCTATCCACCTCCAGATAGCAAGCTGATGGACTCAAAGTGCAGATTAAAGCATATTTCCTCTCTTTCCTCCCTCCTTTCCTTCCTTCCTTCCTTCCTTCCTTCCTTCCTTCCTTCCTTCCTTCCTTCCTTCCTTCCTTCCTTCCTTCTTTCCTTCCTTCTTCCCTCCCTTCATCCTTCCTTTCCTTTCATTCCTTCTTTCCTTCCTTCATTCCTTCTTTCCTTTCCTTCCTTCCTTCATTTTATCCTGGCTAATGCATGAATGTGTTTTATATGATTATATATATTAGTAATGGATTTTGTTTTCTTGCTTTCTCAATGGGTGGAGGAGGTAAAGAACACAGAAATAAAAATAAAATAAACTTGAACTTTTCAATATAAAAAATAAAAGAAGCTGCAATGTAACATTTTGTTGATTTTGAAATGCTTTTTCATAATCAACAAACAATAAACTTCTAATTTTTCTTCTATTTGTAGTCATTCTTCCATTTTCATCCTCAAATGCCCTTTGGTTGAATTTGTTTAGTTGGATATCTTGTTGAACTTTCTTTTATACAAATATTTATGTGTGTATGAGTATTATATATATGTACATATATGAGAGTGTGTTTATGCACACATAAATACTCTCTGCTTATACAGACGTGTGTGCATAAAAGCAGAGAGTAAAAGTGAAAAAAAAAAGTTTAAAGAAAGCTTGACCAGATTTCCAACTATAAAATATTTGTGTGTGTATGTTATATATACATACATATACACATGTATATATAATTGCAGTTATATATAACCATATATGTATATCACATGTGTGTATATACACATATGTGTGTATATACTATACCATTTCCAAAAGATGACTTGTTGCTTACTAATACCCTTGTCATAGATGCTTTTGATTCATGTAAAGATAACTCTCATAAAGAGTTTGCATAGATGGGAGAATAGACATATAGACCAGTAGTTACTGAAGTTTCTTTAGTCATATATTTTGTATTAATGAAGTCCTAGATTTTTTTGCACAGCATTAGTATCTTTCCTAATATGGGTAGGTTAGTCCTGTTTTAATTGTGTGGTCTCTGGCAAAGATCTCTTCTATATACATTTAGTCCTATCTAGCTAGTGTTTTTTGGTTGGTTTTTTTTTTCCCTTCTTTTTTCTCTTTAGTAGGCAGCTAGGTGGCGCAGTGGATAGAGCACTGGCCCTGAAGTCAGGAGGACCTGAGTTCAAATCTGGCCTCAGACACTTGACACTTACTAGCTGTGTGACCCTGGGCAAGTCACTTAACCCCACTGCCTAGCAAAACAAACAAACAACAACGATAAAGCATTGGGCCTGGAATCATGAAGTTGCTGTTGTTAAGTCATTTAGTCACATCCGACTCTTCATGACCCCATTTTTATGAGTTTTTCTTGGCAAAGCTACTGGAGTGGTTTGCCATTTTTCTCCAGGGTCCCTGTTTTACAGTTGAGGAAACTGAGGCAAACAGAGATTAAATGATTCGGCCAGGGTGACACAACTACTAAGTGTCTTAGGCTGGGGGAAATCATGAATTGAGTTCAAATCTAGCCTCAGACACTCACTAGTTGTGTGACTCTGGGCAAGTCATTTAACCTTTGTCTGCCTCAGTTTCCTCACCTGTAAATTGAGGATAATAATAACCCCAGATTTCCAGGGGTACTTTGAGGATCAATGAAATAATATATGTGGAGTATTTAACACAGTGCCTGGCACACAGTAGGTGCTTAATAAATGTTCCCTCCACTCCCTTTAGTATCATTTCTATGTCTACTTTAAGCTCATTTGGGATTGTGTTATTAGGGTCTAACTGTGGTGGTTGAACTGTCTTCGATGGAGAAAAGTTTATTACAATGATTTTTGCAAATCTTTTCCATTTTTTATCTATTTGGAGTCATTCTTCGATTTTCATCCTCCAATGTCCTTTCAATGAATTTGTTTAGTTGGCTATGTTATTGAACTTTCTGTAAACTGGCTTTATCCTCCCCTGCTTCTCTCTGCTTTATGAGATGACATTACTGCTCCATTATTCATCTTTGCAAGATCTTAGACAAGGATTTATATTCTAGCCTTGTGTTCTTTGGCTGCCATCTCTCTGGCAAACAAGTGAGATATTTTCTCATTATGTTGATTTCTGGGCTTTAGTCTCCTTGTTGAGGAAATTATATTGGTTAAATATCTAGATAAAATTATTTAATCAGTATCAATGCATTTACATTGTCCATATTTTACATTTTTTTCATTTTCAATTACTTGTTTAAATAGTTTATACTTGTTGTTTTGATTCTATGCCATATCTTTTTCTCATTATTCTCGTTTTTAAAAAACAACCTAATCCTGATGGTCGTCTTTTAGTAAGAGCTGTTAATGTTTGTTGAATGGAATTAGATTGAAAAGGGAGTAGAGAATAATGGATTCACGGAATGAAGCTAGAGCAAAGAGGGAAAAAACAGGGCAAGAGGTACATGTAGTACTTGGTATGGTGGTGCCTTATAAATGTCACGGAAGCTACTATGATTTATGTGAGGGCAGGGGGAAGCTGTTCACTCATTTGTACTTGATATTTTCCAGGAGTACACATCATTCTGTTCAGTACCCAGTAAATGACCAACGTTCAAATAAATAAAGGATAACGCCAGAAACAGTAGGTGCCCCTTCCACCATTGACACCTTTTCTCGCAGGGCAAAAGTGGCTTATGAAAACATAGAAACCACCTGGCAGAGGAAAAATAAGAGCTATCAGTGTTCAAAGGGGTGGGCTGAAGACTGAAAGGAAAGCAGGGCTAATGGGAGGAGCTAGTGGCCTGGCAGCAGCCTCACTTGGCTTGATTGAGAGTGTAGGAGCCTCAGGTCTTTCTTATACAGGATTAGCAGTGATTTCTTAACTGCCAAATTCAATAGCCTTGTTTCATCCCCAGATTAAATGATGAAATTCCTATAGTGTTTTGGGTTTTTTTTGCTGCTTTATTTTTGGTGAGGCAATCAGGGTTAAGTGACTTGCCCAGGGTCACACAATTTATAAGGTCAAGTATCTGAGGTCAATTAGAACTCAGATCTTCCTGACTCCAAGGCCGAAGCTGTACCCCTCCACAGTGATTCTTGACCACCATATGGTATGTGATGCTATTGAACAACCTCCCCTCCCTGGAAACTCTCTTTCCTGTTTTTGTTTGTTTGTTTGTCTTTTTGTGACACTTCTTTTACTGGTTCTCCTACCTCTCTGGCCAATCCTCAGATTCCTTTACTGGATTATCAATGCTTTGCTTTCTGAATGGATATCAACCCAGTCCCTCTTCTCTTCTATCTTTACATATTTTCAACTCCCTTAACTTCAACTAGCATTGCTGCAAAGATAATTCCCAGTTCTATATGTCCAGTTGTAGTCTCTCTCCTGAGTTCCAATCCTACATCAGCAGCTGAATGTTCCAGAAGCAATTTCAACTCAACATGTACAAAGCATCATCTTTCTACCCAAACTTCCTCTCTTCCTAACTTTCCTATCTTTGTTAGGGCACTACTTATCTTCCAGTTTGTCATCTTAGAATCATCATCAATTCTATACTCGCCCTCATCCTTCTTATCCAGTCAGGATCCAAGACTTGTCGATTTTATATCCATAACATCATTTGTATCTGTCCCCTTCCCTTTACTTATACCAAGTTACCCTAGGTCACTACCCCAGCTAGGATTGTTGCAGTAGCCTGGTTGTTTTCTCTAGCTTTGTTCTCTCCACTCTTTAATCAACTCTCCACATAGCTGGCAAATTAAATGTGCCTTAAACCCATTTCTAACCAAATTGTTGTTTGTCCTTTGTTTTCAAAGAGAACAGTGACATCATGGGGTGATGTCTTGACTTGTAAGTGAACTGGATTTAAGTGAGGCAGAGTTGCACAAAGTTATTGGCCTCACTCTCTCTTCCAGAGTCATCCAAGTCCAGTGGCAGGACAAAAGTCAAGATGACTGGCCCAAGATGTAGTGGATGACCTTGGGGTCATTGATGTCTGACCAAGCTCTAAGCCTCTTTAGTGCCTGCCCGTTTACAAATTAGGAAAGAGATGTCCAGAAGGGCAAAATAATTTGCCCCAAATTATCCAGAAAATTAGTGGTAGAACCAGAACTAGAAACCAACCCAATATTCCATTCATTACATCGTTACAATGAATTGTTCTGGAATAAATTGTTCTCATCTGCCCATTCTGCCAGGAAAAGTCTTCACATGCTTGGGGTGGATATCTCCTTACCTCAGAGACAGGTTGGAGGTTAGTTACTTTCAAACTGGTTTAGCTCATCTGCAAGATGTTTTTACCAGAGTATAGAGACTGTGCGTGCTACAGCTTCTTGGAACCACAGGTAAGAATTGGCGGATAGGCGAACACTAAAGGTTGATGAGCAGCCCTGAAAAGAGGTTGGCAAGCCCTCATACCAGAGGTTCCAATCCTCCCTGAACACCCCATAAGCCCCAACCAAATCAGTCCTTTACTCAAAAACACTCCAGTTGCTCCCTTTTTACTCTAAATTGAAATATAAATGCCTGAGTTTGCCAAAAGTACTTAATAATCTGGACCCAGTCTACCTTTCCAGGCTCCTTATTGAACTCTCTGGTCCAGTCAAAATGCTGCCTTGCTGTTCCCTGCATATGAGCATCTAGCTCTCAGCTCTCTGCCTTTGTACAGGCTATGTCCATACCTTAAATGTACTCTTCCCTCAATCCTGCTTCTTAGAATCTCAGCATCCTTCAAGGCTCAGCTCAAGTTCCATCTCTTGCTCAGTCTATCCTGATACTCACTAGTTAGGGCTCTCTCTCCCCAAAACTACTTTGTATTTATTTTTTATTATATTTTTCATTTACTTATTTATATTCATGTTACAGAGTTTCTCCTTGCCCTTCCCTGCAAGGTAAGCTCCTTGAGGGCAGGATTGTTTTATTTTGTGAAATTGATTTATTGAACTCAAGAGTGGGACTTTACATTTATATCTACTAAATATAAGCTTACTAAATTTGGCCCCTTCTTCTAGACTGTCAAGATGTTTGTATATAAATAGATAACATCTATATACATATACATATATACATATATATGTATATATGTACATGACTTTCTAATCAAATGCATTAGTTATTCTTCCCAACTTCACATCATCTGCAAATATAATAAACATTCCATCTATGTTTTATTTAATACATTGCTTTAAAAAAATGTTAAAAAGTGTATATTCATGGGGCAGCTAGGTGGCAGAGTGAATAGAGGAGGCCTGCACAACATACAGCCACAGGTTAGTTGCAGCCTGCCGAAGGATTTTGGGTGGCCTGCAAAAAATGTAGGGGATGTAAAAGAAAGATGTAACGAGTACTTTGTCCATGCTCCCCTTAACCCACCTTCCAATAGTCACTATTGTGCCCTTCATATTCTCTCCTGTTTGTCACATGACCCATGGCAACCAACCATCATCAGTCTTTCTCTAGTCTGAGAGGATCTAGAATCTTATCTTTTCACTGTGTTTTTGGTCATTACTAAATATAAACAGTAAGAAAACCTGAAAAATGTATTACTTAGCAAAGTAATGTTTTAAACAGTAATATGATTTCATGATAAATAAAAATCTTAAGTCACAAGTATAATTTAAATTAATTGCAATTTCACTTTTTAAATATGGCTCATTTGCAAAATAGTTTAATCATTAATTATTCCTTTACCTGGAAAGTGAGCTGCTAAAAATCTATCTGTGACCTGAAGAAGTTTAACCTGTTTTAATTTTGGCCCTTGCCTACTGCCAAGTTTTGCAGGTCTGGAATCAGGAGGACCTGAGTTCAGATTTGACCTCAGATACTAACTGAGTGACCCTGGGCAAGTCATTTAACCCTGATTGCCTCCAAAAAACTAAGTGTAGATCCAAGGAAAGATCCCCGTGGCACTCCATTAGAAACTTCCCTTCAATTTGATCTTGATCTATTAATGACTACTCTTCGTGTTTACAAACTCAGAAACCAACTTATCTTATCATCTAATTTACATCTCTCCACTTGATCTTTAAAAATAGCAGAAGAGGTAGAATCGAAGGAAACAATCTGAATTGTATTGGATTGTCCTACAGAACCACTGCATAATATTGGAAGAGTTATATAAAACTCTCTGCTTTACTCAACTTTTCCTTCTGAAGACCAAGAACAGTGCTTAGCACCTGCTGGTCTGGTACAATACGGTCCAGGTGTATGAGATGTGAGCATTTGGAAACTGCAGAATTTGAAGTGTTCTCAGAATGCAAATTCATTGTAACGATGTAATGAATGGAATATTGGGTTGGTTTCTAGTTCTGGTTCTACCACTAATTTTCTGGATAATTTGGGGCAAGTTATTTTGCCCTTCTGGACATCTCTTTCCTAATTTGTAAAATTAAGAGTTTGGACAAGATGGTCAATCAATTAACAAGCCTTTTATTAATGAAGCTAAGTGGTAGCTAGCTAGAGAGCTGGAGTTGAGAAGAACTCAGTTCAAATTTGGCCTCAGATACTATCAGTGTGACCTTGGACAAGACACTTAATTTCCTTATGTGTAAAATGGAGATCATAAAAGCACCTACCTTTAAGGATGGTTGTAAAGATAAAATGAAATAATATTCACAAATTACTTTGTAAAACCCTAAAGTACTATAAATATATAATATATATATATATATATATATATATAAATTGCTGCATAAATGCTATTCGTTATTGTTATTGTTATTATAGCTCCTATAGTTCACTGTCACACATATTATACACACATGTTACATATATCTATATCTATATCTATCTATATCTATCTATCTATCTATCTATCTATCTATCTATCTATCTATACACATTTGGATTTACAAATTTACCTTCCCAAAATTTACATCTGCAGTGGAAAGAGTCTTAGATTTGGAGTCAAATGCCTATTCCATTTATTTGGACTCTGATGGCTCAGAGGGTCTTTCCCCCCAAGATCTAATTTTTTAATAAGGCCATTCTTTGCCTCATTTCTTATTAAGCCTTAATCAGTGAATAGGTGTTGTATCGTCAAACTAAGACCTGTTAAAGACCTTAGCTTGAAAAGGCCAAGGTTCACCACATTCTGGGCCATCTCCAGTTGTCCTGATCTATATCTGAACACTGGATTCAGATGGCTCCAGAGGTGAAAGTGAGACTGGTGCTTTGCACTGTACTCCCTCACTTAAATCCAATTCACTTGCATGTCATGGCATCACCTCCCTGCAGCTCAAAAATCGTATGTGGAAAGTGGTTAAGATATGCTATGTGACCCTAGCTATTTGTGTGATAGAGTGAGAACTAGAACTGAATTTTCTGGACCCATTCTTTCAGACACCCTAAGCTTCCTCCTTTCCAAAGCACTGTAAGATGGTGAGGAAAGAAATGAGAGACTAAAAATGCAGCGTGATGGTAACCCTGCCCACCTCCACCATTGGATTCTGTCTCTGCCAGACTCTTGGGTCTGTAATTCATTTTGTTTATGGGGGATCCTTTTATAGTCTCTCCTTGCAGCTCAGTTGCTAGGGACATAATAAAATATGGCACAGAAAAAGGGAGGGATGAGAGTGGGAAGTTAGCAGCATCCCCACACCATTTGCAATTGATCCTGGCGGTGAGAAGAGAGAGGAAATGCACAAAGGGAATTCATAGTTCTTATTCTGCTATTCCTAAACCATCTAATTGTAAGAGTGATAACTCTGGCCCCCACGACCTGAAAGCGAGATACATTACATTTCAGCTACCCTCCTAGGTACTCACAAGTACTCTTAAAGTGGTTAGGAAGCTAAAGGCTCTGCCTTTAGCTCAAACCCCAACAACTGTGTTCTCCCAATTATAGGAGGCCTGAGCAGCTCAGATCCATTTAACACTTAATGGTCAGATTTGCTTTTACAAAAGAATATTTACATCAAAGGTATAGCAAAAGCAACCATACAAACATCCTCTTCTCCCAGTACTTGGGGACATAACTCTCCCTTAGGATCACAATTAAATTCAATTCTAATATAACACTGCACCACCAAGTTCAAAGATCACCCCACTCACCCATCTCCATCCATTTTTTCTCTATACTCTGGTTTCTCAGGGGTTCCTTGCTAGGCTGGCAACAATATCTGGCCTGGAATTCTGGCTTGAACTCATGGGTCTGGAGACTTAACCAGCTACACCTGGAATGGAAAATGACAAATGAAACAGACCAAACTCCCAAGCCCTGAGGTCTCTCTAGGCCACAGGGAGAAGGTATGGAGAGAGACAGAGACAGAAAGGCAGAGACAGAGACAGAAAGGCAGAGACAGCAAGACAAAGAAAAACACACAGAGAGAAGGGGGGGTAGGATACAGAAAGGGAGGGAACAGGTTAGAGGGAAAGAAGGAGAAAGAGAGAGGGAGAAGGAGAGAAGAGGGAGTAAGAGAGGGGTAGGGGAGGGGGAAAGGCAGAGAGTTACTAATCTGCCAGTTTTAAATATGCAGTTCATTCCAGCCACATAACCAATGGAAAAAAGGCTGCTCCCACCTATATGGCAGGGGAGCGCAGGTTGTCTTCTCTCACAAAGCAAATCCCTGACATCTCTCACATGGGTTCCTCCATTTTAGGTGATCTGGGCATGGACAAAGCCATGTTGCACAATATAAATATGGGCTGCAAGGATCCAAACCAGTCCACTATTTTAAAAGGAGGGGAGGGGAGCTTAGAATCCAAAAGGAAGCTGAAAATAACGAAATGCTCTGGGTTATAAATAAATACTTGATTTGGCCCTTAGGAATTTCTCCACAATGTTAGTCATCTAAAAGTTAGCATAATATGATGGATAGAACATTGGATTAGGAGTCAGCAAAATCAGTGTCTGAATCCTCCTTCAGACACTTACCAGATTGTGTCACTCTAGGTAAGTCATTTAAACCTCTCTGAGCCTCAGTTTCTTCATCTGTCAAATGGGGATAATAATGGTACCTGCTTCAAGGCTGCTATAAGATACTTGGTCATCATTCAAATTCCCTCAGAAGGTTACTAAGTTTCAAGAGAGTGAATGTAAAAATGTTTCACAAACCTTAAAGTCTGTATAAATGAGTTATTATCCTTTCTTCCCTGCAGTTTGCTCCTCCCTCCGTAACATCTCCCCATAACCACATCTTCAGAGAAACATCCTTACAACCTCTTGGCTTCAGTAAATTAATCTATCCCTGATGACATGGCCACGGTGACCTTCCTCAATCACTTCACACACCTCTCTCTCCGGGTTCCCTGCTTGGCTCTTCAAATATTCCTATTTAGAGATTTCATCTTTTCTCAAGTGCTCTCAGATTCACCTGTCTGTTGTCATGGCAGCCGACTAGCTAGTGAACAACTGAGTTCTGTTAATCCCACACTTTCTTCTTTCCTTTTCTCTCTGTCAAGTCTTCAGACTCAAGGAGGTTTTCTGGGCAACAGCATGAGGTAGGTGAAGTCTGGGTCAAACTCTCCTCACTAGCACTTCCCCCTTCATCAGTAATACTCTATCCTAGGCCTCCAATGTATTTTCCCCAACCTCCTCACCATCAGATCCTGCTCTGGAGAAAGCTTCTGATTCTTTCTTCACACTAAGATGCAAATAACTCATAAGAGGCTTTCCCAAATCAAGGGTCTGTCTGCCTGACTCCCCACCCCACCCCAACCCTGACTCAATAAACTCTAGTTTATTATAAACTCTGTTAGTTATAGGATCATATTCGACCCTTACTACTTAAACTTTTCTTCTTAAAATTTACTACCCTTCCACATCCTCCATGAGACAACTAGTCTTTCTTGCTGTTTCTTGACCATAACACTCCATCTCTCATCTCTTTCCCTTTGTACTGGCTGCTCCTCATGCCTGGTAAACTCTCCCTCGTAATCTCCATTTTCTGATTCCCCTGGTCTCATTCAAAACAGCTCAAATCACACATTCTGTAAGAAGCCTTTCTGGTCTCCCCACTGCTAGTACCTTCCCTCTGAGAGTTGTTCAGTTATTTTTCACTTGTATCCAACTCCTCATGACCCAATTTGGGGTTTTCTTGGCAAAAAAAAAAACACTGAAGTGGTTTGCTATTTCCTTCTCCAGTTCATTTTACAGGTGAGGAAACTGAGGCAAACAGGGTTAAATGACTTGCTTAGGGTCCTACAGCTAGTAAGTATCTGAAGCTATATTTAAACTCAGGAAGATGAGTCTTCCTGACTCTAAGTCCAGCACCACTAGCCACCACCACCTAACTGCCCTTAATATACTTTATGTGTCACATAATTATTTGCATGTTGGTTCCCCAGTTAGTATGGGAGCTCCCTGAGCACAGTGACTGTGTCCTTTCATTGCATCCCCAGCTGTACACTGTACTGTACACAATGTCTAGTACGTGGTAAGGGTTTAATAAATGCTAGGTAAGTGACTGATTGACTAGAAATGACACCTCTGAGGAATTTTTGCATTTTAAGGGGAGACAAGAAGTAAAAAAAAAAAAGAGCATAGAACTTCAAGTAGGGAGTTGTAGAGGGAGCTACTTATTATGAGGCTCAAGAGAGTGAATGTAAAATGTTTCACAAACCTTAAATATCTGTACAAACATGAGCTATTATATTATCCTCTCTCCCCTCCCTCTCTAACATCTAGCCATAACCACCTCGTCAGAGAAACATCCTCACAATCTCTCGGCTTCAGTAAAGTAGTCCATCCCTGATGACGTGGCCATCGGACCTTCTTTCATTCACCTATCTGTGAGGGATAGGGAAGCCTTTCTTATACTACTAAAATAATAACCAGAGTAGGCAGCTGCCTGCTCCAATTACTGATAAAGCCAACTGTAATCTGTCCAGAACCCTCTGTAAGCCAATTCAATTAAATAAGTCTTATGCTACAATGTGCCAGGCACTATGTGAAGTGATGAAGATATAAAGTCTAAAATGAAACTGTTTCTGGCCTCAAAGAGCTTACATTCTACTGGGAAGAAATATGTACACTAGTAAGTTTAAAAAAAAAAAGAATATATACAAAGTAATTTGGAGGAAGGAAACTAGGATGGCAGGAAAAGAACTTGTAGATATCAGTTCCCTTTGTGCCTGGGTCCATATCTGCTCCCAAAAGAGTAGAGACCAGACCTATGATATCATTGGCATAGGAAATTTTCAGGTGGGAAAACTCCCTTTAATGACACAGATCAGGACCTTCTCTGCAATTAAAGAGTTGTCTAGAACATTTAAAGGTTAAGTGACTTGCCCAGGGACACAAAACCTTTATGTATCTGAGGCAAATCTTCCTGGCTTTGAGGCTGGCTCTCTAGCCAGTCCACCATATCTGCCTCTCTGTAGATAGGTTTAAGCCAAATGGATAAGAAATTTGGGGATGAGGTTTTTTTAATTTTTTAATTTTTTTTTGGGGGGGGAATGTTTTTAACAAGCATGATTAGCAGTAGGAATTGTAGCAGCTCACATGCCTGCCTTTTTAGGAGGCTTTTATTTTTACCCTCCAGTGAGCATAACCACACCACCTTTTACTCCTCCTCCTTCTCATTACTACCTTCTGCCTTTCTGATTATAGAGTGGGGTCATGGACTCCAAACCTTCATTTAAGGAGAGAGCTCAGCTCTGACATGCCCCTAAGACTGGTACCTTCTGTCTCCTTTTCTTTTTGTCTTCCTTTTGTGTGTTTTCTTCCTTGATTAGATTGTAAGCTTCTTGAGAGCAGGGACTATCTTCCTTGTATTTGTTTTTTTATCCTTAACACTTAGCACAGTGCCTGGCACATAGTAGGTGCTTCATACATGTTGACTGATTGGTTTACTGACCACCCCTTTGGGTCACCTGTCTCCACATTGCATGGATCTTTCAATAGTCTTTTCCCTTCGTGTATAACTACAGGGAAAAGCACAATATTTAGAATGATAAGACTTCAGTTGGAGTGCCAGCTGCATCACTTCATAGCTGTCACTTGGGGGGAGTCATTTCATTTCTCTAAGACTTGGTCTCCTAATCCATAAAATAAGACTAATGCCACTTGTACTGGCTTAGTCATCAGGTGGTTGTCAAAAAAATGTTTTGTAAACCTTAAAGCCTCGAAAAGTGAGTTATTATTAGCACATGCATGTGAACTATTACTATTATTTGTTGTGGTTTAAAACCATTCCCCTTGTCCTTCTCTGGCTGCCAGGCAAACAGACCATTATTACCATCTGCATAATAGTCTTTAACCCACTTGGAGAATGAAGTCAGATACAGTCCTCCCTGCTTGCCCAGACCTTTGCTCAATGATTAAGAGAATGTCGATGACGGCAATTTCAAAAATTAGTATTTATAAAACTCTTTAAGGCTTGCAAAGTGCTATACATATGTTATCTCATTTGATCTTCACAACAACCCTGTGAAGTAGGTGTTATTATCATCCCTGTTTTACAGATAAGGAAATTGAGACTGAGAGAAGTTAAATGACCTGCCCAGGGTCACACAACTGGTAAATGTCTGAGACAGGATTTGAACTCATGCCTTCCTGAAACCCATTCTTGTCAATATCTCCTCATAGGTAAAATGACCACATTTCAATTACAATGATGCCTGTATCCCTGAGTCCTGACTCAAGAAGCATTCTTGCACCAATAGTTACTAATCAAGGGCTGGTGGGTGGAGATGGGAAGGAAGCACGAGGTTGTATCCCCCAAGCTTGTATCTGCAAATTTGGTCTCAGAAAAGAAAATGACACATAAGTTTAAGGTACTCTGTGGCTCTGCTCCAAAAATCGTAGCTCAAAAGCTCCTAATCCTACTTTTCCCATTAACAGTCAGCTAGCAGATATAATTAGTTCAGCTGGGTTCCCTGAGTCTTCACTTCTCCACAGTTACGGATGACCAGAACTGCTGCTCTTGACTCCATAGCTGACTTTCTTTATACTGCCCAATTATCTGCACTAAGAGATTCCAGGGTTGAGTGGCAGAGGTGAAAAAAGAAAAAGCTGCCCCTCTGGTAGAGGTGAAGGGAATAGGAGAGAACTGAAGGAGTAGGAAAGTCTGAAGGGCAAAGGGTAATCTCTCAAGAGCTGGGTTTTTCCTCCATAGTTCACTCTCATCTCTGCTGCCAAGGGTCACACTCCTCAGAGCTCTTCTGCCTTGACCACTGTCCCAGCCTGCGGGACACCAAAGGGGATGGGGACAAGAGACTCGAAGAATGGAGA